ACAATTTGTCCCCCCCCCCCCACGCCCACCCCACCACTGTGGCGTAAACGCTTTTGATGAAGTGTCAGGTGAGGGATCCAACCTGACGCGCAGACAACGAGGAAGCGTCACGCTAAGACTTGGAATATAATAAAGTGTCTCTGAGTAACTTTCCCCTGAGGCCAAATCTGTTAATTTTCTAATTTATGATGCAATTTCTGTTTTTTCTTTTGATTTTTCTATGAAAATGATTTTGTCATTTTCTCATTGTGATGTAAAAATGTTATAGTGAGATGACTTTTTCCCTAAATAGTTGGACTTCATGACATTTTTTTTCATTGTACAAAGTTGATCTTGTAAAATGACCTTTTTTTTTAATTTCAACGTAATGATTTTTTCTTCAAAGATTTGAACATTCATTCTCGAAATTTTGGTTTCATTCAGTTAGTACCATGTCTTTTTTCTTCATTTCGTTCAAGTTAGGGTAACTCGTTTTTTTTTCTCAAATTACATTTTCCTTTTTCTCATAACCTTGTGGAATTTATTCTCGTGGCTTCGTTTCTCAAGATTATAACATTCTTTCTTTTCAACATTTGACCTTTTTCTTGAAACCTCACCCCCAGGCCCCCCCCCACCATAATATTTAGACTTTACTCTCTTGATATTGGCTGCTTCACATTTTCGCAAAAGCAGATTTTTTCAGCGCTGATCACAGCATCTTGTGTGCTTGCATTAAAACGTGTTGCGCGGATCCGCCGCGGCCTTTATTTGCAACAAAGCAATCTCTGGCGCAGTCACAATATGCAAGCTTCTGTCCAATTAGATATCCTCCCGTCTCGCTGTGTGTCATTCCAATGAATGTTTTCCTCATCTGTCTGCTTTGCATATAAATTGCTAAAACGCGCTTTTGTAACGGCTGTCAAACAGCGCTATTTCGACGTTAGCAGCAGACGCCCATGAGGCAACAAATATGGCTCGCGCATATACAGAATGAACACCAGGGGCATGTACTAAGTACTTCTATAAAGTTAAAACAAAATAGCTCAAATACGGGGCTCATAGCTTTCAACCCTTTCATGCAACCTGTCAGCTGATAAAGTGATAAGCTGTCCACTGTTGTAACCTCTGTCCCTAAAAGGGTTAATGGAGTCTTAATACTATTGATGTCAAAGACTAGTCATTGTCTAATTTTATGTCTTACTGACCGTATTTTCGTCTCTGTGTTGTCATGACAAAAAAACAAATAAATAAATAAGAAAATTTGACTTTTTTAAATAGATAATGAATAGGATGAAATCGTTTCCCTGTGGAGCTCCACTGATGGACAATGTTGTTATGTATGTAAAATTACGATTTTTAAAAATGTTACAGCTGCTCATGGCGTACATATGAGAAGTATTTAATATGATTATGTTATTTCTTTAGTATTACGATTTTTTTTTTTTCTTGCAACAGTGATTCCCCCACCCTCCGCACAAAATGACAACTTATACCTGTGCAGAATTTTCCCGACATTTGAATTTTCGTCTCTTATTTCCACTGTGGTCTCATTTTCATAAGACACACAAGGTCGCTTCAGTCAAATTGTTTATTTTAATTGGAAGGTGTCAGCCAAAAGGCTTGTTGTGAATCTTTCAATCAAGTTAAACATGCTAATTACCAGAACCGCCTTTGTGCATTGCAGTATTTGCACAATGATTTTCGCACAGAAACACAAACGAGAGCAAGGTTGTCTTTGATGAGTGAAATTCTTGCCTTTTGGGAAATGACACAACAGCAAGGGGCGAAAGCAATCACATGGAAGCTTTAATTAAGTGTAGGAGCGGAGCTGTTCGCCCCACGAAAACAAAGAATCTTAAGTGCTTCATCATCTTGGAGAGCTCATACAGCTTTAATGATGAATTGGCTGATCACACAACACTGAAATGAGCTTGCTGCTATTTACTGCTGGTGCCGCGGCTGCTATTCCAAGACGCACACTCTCGTGAACTTTAACACTCTCACATGCACAAGCTGACTCACACAGAGTCTCTTTTCCACAGTGGCAATAGGGCTGCACGATTATGGGGGAAAAAAAATAATCATCACAATTATTTGGATTGAGACCGAAATCAGTATGATTAAAACAATCATCCAATCATTTCAAAACTTAGTATTTATTTGACGACTGAAGTTCAACTCCTCAAAGCTATCATCATCGCCTCATGTCCATTCAGCCCCACATGCTGAGCACTTTATTCTTGAACACGCTATTCTTTTTGTAAAGTACCTTAATTACCGGGCAGACCGGTGGTCGACTGGTTAGCAGGTCGGCCTCACAATGTAGAGATTCGATTCCGACTCCAGCCTTCCTGTGTGGAGTTTGCATGTTCTCCCTGTGCCTGTGTGGGTTTTCTCCAGGTGCTCCAGTTTTCCTCCTTACATTCCAAAAACATGCGTGGCAGGTTAACGGAGCACTCTAAATCGGCCCGAGGCGTGAGTGCGCGCGCATGATTGCTTGTCTATGCTTGCTCTGCGATTGGCTGGCAACCGGTTCAGGGTGTCCTCCACCTCCTGCCCGAAGACAGCTGGGATAGGCGAATCAGAAAATGGATGGATGGACCTAAATGACCTTGGAAATATCCTTTGAGTTTCGAGCCTCTTGCATTTTCATTCTGCTACATTCACACCTGCTACATCATTAGCGTATTTGTATCTTATTTTCACAAGTCTTGGGACTTAGTGGGCTAACCTGAGACCTTGGGGGTTGTAAATCGATGTGTCCTTAAATTTTGAGGAAAGGAAAGTTCCTTGAATCCTTGAAGAGTCATTTTAATATGACTTGAAAGGACAACGCGAAAATAAATCAGAAAGAAAGTCAACTAAGAAGAGAGTAAAACAATACCAACGAAAAAACAAAACGCGTTTCGGCCTTTAGGGGGCAGTGTGGTGACGTGCATGGATGAAGGAAGAATGAGAATATCATAAATTGAAATCATTTTTTACAGGTGGGAGGAATTTGTGCTTTTGAGTAGTGCTCGCTTACCTGCGGGTATGTGTTTCCACAGCGTTTGTATGTTATTGGAAGGGCTATCATTCCCTCGGTAGATGCTAATTTCCCGTTGAGTTGGGGTCCTCCATTGACTTTAGCATTAGCGCTGACAATGTTTTAAAAACAAAGTATGTTTTGAATTTAACTGCACAATGTGTTGAAATCTTGTAGTTGTGTGTTTAATTCTACACCAATCCCTAACTAGGGTGGCATTAAACGGCATCTTGCATGCCCGTTGTCAGCAGAATCACATCCGATACGCAGCTGCTACTCAGGCAATATGGTGCATTCAGGCTACCTTCACAATGTCGGGAATTTGTAAACGTACCGCGCCGTTCTGCAAATGAATCGTTTTTCTTCCATGATAATGTTTTAAAGTTCGAGAAAAGCCAAAATCGAAATCACGATTTAGATTTCTTTTCATCGTCCAGCCCTTACTTATACACAAACTTTCACAAGCGCTATCTCTTACACACACTCACACCCAAAGTTTCAGTCGCTCTCTCACGTGCACACGGTACGTCACTCAGGTTCTCATAAGCATGCACTGTCACACGCTCACACAAACTGAGCACACACTCACATTCAATTGTGCTCACTCTCACATCCACACTTTATCTCACATATGCACTCTATTTCTCTATCGCACAAACACCTCAGACACGCTCTCTATCTCTTGCGCACGCGCACACACACACACACACACACACACACACACACACACACACACACACACACACACACACACACACACACACACACACACACACGGGTTCACACACACTCTCTCACACTAACACAATGCATGTTTGTTTTTCCTGCTTTCACCAGCTATCTCATTGCCTTTTATTCAGACTCATTCTCACTTCTCTTAGAAGTTGTCTTTGAAGACATTGCAGTGCCGTCGCTCTCCTCTTGTTCATATTTCTCCTCCAGATATTCATTTGACACTCGTGTGTGTGTCTGTGTGTGTGTGTGTGTGTGTGTGTGTGTGTGTGTGTGTGTGTGTGTGTGTGTGTGTGTGTGTGTGCGTGTGTGTGTGTGTCTGTGTGTGAGTGTGTGTGTGTAAGTGTCCCCATGCCCTTGTGAGGTGTATTCAGCTGTGTATGCTTTCAGTAATTAGCGAGGCGGCATTCCGAATAGTTGTCAGGCAGCTTCGGTCTTTATCACTACCCAGAGGGCCCCCCCCCCCACACACACACACACACACATACACTTGCACACACATACACACACATACACACGCTTACATACACACAGACAAGATAACATGCTGTTCTTTTAACCAATGACCAAATTCTTGCGCATCTGCTTTGCTTTGAAAACTTCAGTCATACATTCGAGAAATGTTTCAAATTAAACAATTCAGTTGAAAATCTTCACATCTGATCATAATGGCTGATCAATAGGAACCCACTGAGGACTGGATTCATGCTTTCCTCTTCAAAATCAAATTGGGAAAGAAAAAAAAAATATTAAAGTTCAATTTCAATTTGAGTCTGCAAGTGTTTGGACGTGAGATGTGGTCTACAGCAGCTCCGGCGCCAGTGTGCTCATTGTGTGGAGGTGTTTAACTGCTCTCTCGAGTATTCAATAAAAGCCTGAAAAGAGCATTGGTAACTCCTTCCCATATGCGAGGGCATTACAGAAACTTTTTTTTTTTTTTTTGTGACGATACCCTGTACACAGATTGAATAAAATGCTTCTGAGTCATTTCCAAAATGCGTCCATTAGTATGTGTGATGCCATGTGGGTCAGGGAGGCTGTGCGTTGCGCTTGCTGGCGTGCGCATTGTGTTTGTTCACTCATGCAGGAAAGCCTCGGCCTTAGCGTAGCCGGCTGGTGAAATAGGTCTTGTGCGTGCGTGCATGTTTGCGTCGCGCCGTTACACTCGGAAGAATGCAGTTACGTTGTTCGTATACATGGCTGTCACTCAGAGAATATTTGCGGCAGAAATGTCGGAGCTGCAGAAGAAGAATCCAGTTGACGATGAGATACCCAAGCATGCGTTTATGACTTTCAACTGTATTGACAGAGTATCAGGAAAACAACAACAGACACTATAGTGGAGCCGGGAGGGAGAGCCGTTTCCAAAGAGGCTACTTAGAAGCGCTCTTTTCACAAGCGCACACACGCAGACATACAAACTTTTCATTTTTTAAAAATCCCGCAATTTGTGATCGTGGCTTTGTTATCTCGGATTAGTCTGATTAAAATCCCCGCGCCAAGCAAACGTGTCAAACGATTATAGGCAAGCAAGCTATTTGAAGACGAAATCAACTGCCTCCTGGTAGAGTGACAGCTCGTTGTTCATGCGATCGAGACGGAAGCGTCCTTCGAGGCCAAATGACTCAACTGGTGACTGATTCTACTTCCGACTCGATTTCTATGATTCCATTTCGCTCCTTCATTTGCGAACCATCACTGTAGCATCTCCCTTCGCGTCTTTGATCCCATCTGAGAAGAAGTCAACCAGAAGTTTCCTGACGCCAGTCCGAAATGGGATGAAGGCGAGTTTGACGAGCGCCTTCTGGCCGGGGCCGATGTCGGAGCTGAAAGACAGAAAAAGTGTTTTAGATGTCGAATGAAAGATGACGGAATGAAAGATGACGGCTAATGAAGCGCATCGAGTCTGTACTTACTTCACCTTGACCTCAGTGGAAGCCAATAGGCCGGCCCCCTCCACGTTGAAAACGCCCCCCTTCAGAGGCACCTTGAGAGGGTTGGTGAAGGAGATGGAGCAGGTTGCTTGCTGTCCTTGATAAGTCTTGCCACAAACCTGAAGAGAGACGATTGAACAACGATCGAAAAGCCCATAGGTAGACCATTTTGTTATGGTCATAAAGAATGGGCAGCAGGAAAAGAATTGTCAACTGATTATTTGATCCAAAAAAGATATATTGTGATGTTGAATGTCAATGGATAAAAAAAAGTTGTATTACATTTATTTATCCATCCATCCATTTCCTGAACTGTTTTATCCTCACAAGGGTCGCGGGGCATGCCGGAACCTATCCCAGCCGTCTTCGGGCAGTAGGCGGGGGACACCCTGAACGGTTGCCAGCCAATTGCAGGGCACACATAAGTGAACAACCATCCGCGCTCACACTCACACCAAGGGACAATTTGGAGTGTGCAATCAGCCTGCCATGCATGTTTTTGGAACGTGGGAGGAAACCGGAGTACCCGGAGAAAACCCACGCAGGCCCGGGGAGAACATGCAAACTCCACACAGGAAGAAGGCCTGAGCCGGGATCGAACCCACGACCTCTGCATTGTGAGGTCGACATGCTAACCACTGGAGCCCCAGGCCGCCCGACTTTTATGAATTTTATAATTCAATATTTTAAAGTTAAATATGATACGAGCCACTTCGTAAAATAAAAAATTTAAGATAAAAAGATATCACAAGAAAACGAGCAACTTGTTTGCTTTGTCACTGGTAACACAAAGGTCAGATGTCGAATTTGTTGTTGTTTTGAGTTTGGGATTTTTACTACACTGCATGGGTTTTCTCCGGGTGCATGGCAGGCTGATTGAACACTCTAAATTGTCTCTAGGTGTGAGCGTGAGCATAGATGGTTGTTCGTCTCTGTGTGCCCTGCGATTGGCTGGCAACCGGTTCAGGGTGTCCCCCGCCTACTGCCCGAAGATGGCTGGGATAGGCCCCAGCACCCCCTGCGACCCGTGTGAGGATAAGCGGATCGGAAAATGGATGGATTTTTACTACAAGTGAAATGACGACCACAGTTGCATGTTGCCTGCGTGCGCTCACCTCAACAAGGACTTGAGGCATGACAGGTGACATTCTGCCCATGGCCATGATGGGTCTCCTCAGTCCCTCGGCTGCCAACAATGCTGTCATCTTCAGTTGTTGCTGTCCGGAGATGTACTTGACATAGTCGTCGAAGCCCACTCGCACCACCTCCTTGTGAACTGGACACATTTTGGTGAAGGTCAAAAGTGGGGAGAAAAAGGCGCAGGACAATTTTCAATTTTTTTTTTTTTCCTTGGTTGGCGCGCACAGAAATCTGCTTGGTTTCCCTCTGCACCATCCCAAGGTGGATACCGTTGTACGTTTCTGCTGTGACTGCCATGTTCAGACGAACGTCGGCGTTTTTTCCTCCGTCGTTCATCAACTGCACAAAAGAATCATTTGGTAAAATGTAATTTGGAATCATTTGCCAGACTGTGCATGACCATCTCCAGAGTGCACCAAAAATATTTTCTCACTCTTCATGTGCCTATTACTCATATTGTATTTTTTTTTTTTTTTTACTTGTTTGTGTTTCAGATGCAGTAACTAATTTTGCCCCGAAAACTGATCACCGCCCAAATTTTTGTGAGTGGTCTTTAGGACGAAAAGCCAGTCAAAAAAGTGAATGTTTTTTTGGGGAAAGCCCATGAAAGCTAAAAATACGAAACAACAATACGTTGTGTGCCATACCTCGACAACAATGTCGACATCTGATCCAAACACAAGTTTTCCGGGTTTGACGCTCAACAAAAATTTCTCTGATTCCGGCCTCTCGGGGGACGGCTCTCTGATTGCACGCTGAGCTTTTGCGTACACCTCTCTCGCGTTCACGGAGCCTGATGAAGAAAATTAATCAGCCCTTGATAATTAAACCGCGGCTACGGTGACGTGACATTTGAAGACACGCTGCAGTTTGGAAGCAAATTGGACACTGAGTGGAAAGTGATCTCGCACCAAAACGCTACACCACCAGTAGTCTGCTGCTGAAATGAATCCACCCGTTTACCGGCACAAGAAAAAGTTCAGGGCCTAGCCCGGATGATTTAGGATGAATGGGGCACAAGACAATTAAAATATGCAAAAATAAAATGTACGATTGGCTCATATGAAGTTTATACAGCGTGCGCACCTTTGGATACGTGCGCTTATTGTATGAATGAAAACTGACGCAGAGCCGAAATATGTGCGTGATCTGTTTGTCCATGTTGAAAAATGAGTCATTTTTGGCTAACCTTCAGGATATTTGTATTGTTGAGTGACATCGTCTCTGTGATTGCCAAAAACACTTTTGGTGCTGATGTTCTTGCCGATGCTGAACTGGTCCACTCTGATCTGTAAACAACAAAGGCTCATCGTTTTCAATAAAATGCGTACGAGGTTTTCTTGAGGGAAAACGAGGGGGGCCACCTTTTGATGCTGGCCGTCTTTTCGGACCATCCAGTGGATGATGTCAGCGTTCACCTCCGCAAATACAAACGGAGCGTCATACTTGATGCCCAGATTTCCCTCCTTGATGGCCTTAACAGGACATGGACCACAGCGGAAGTCACCTAACAATCAAAAGGTCATTTCGGCATCAAATTTGAAGCAATCTTGATGATGTCTATGAATTTTGGTCAAGTAAATGATGCCAGCCAATCGCAGGGCACACAGAGACCAACAACCATCCGCGCTCACACTCACACCTAGGGACAATTTGGAGCATTTTGTGAACCTGCCATGCATGTTTTTGGAATGTGGGAGGAAACCGGAGTACCCGGAGAAAACCCATGCAGGCCCGGGGAGAACATGCAAACTCCACACAGGAAGAAGGCCTGAGCCGGGATCGAACCCACGACCTCTGCATTGTGAGGTCGACATGCTAACCACTGGAGCCCCAGGCCGCCCGACTTTTATGAATTTTATAATTCAATATTTTAAAGTTAAATATGATACGAGCCACTTCGTAAAATAAAAAATTTAAGATAAAAAGATATCACAAGAAAACGAGCAACTTGTTTGCTTTGTCACTGGTAACACAAAGGTCAGATGTCGAATTTGTTGTTGTTTTGAGTTTGGGATTTTTACTACACTGCATGGGTTTTCTCCGGGTGCATGGCAGGCTGATTGAACACTCTAAATTGTCTCTAGGTGTGAGCGTGAGCATAGATGGTTGTTCGTCTCTGTGTGCCCTGCGATTGGCTGGCAACCGGTTCAGGGTGTCCCCCGCCTACTGCCCGAAGATGGCTGGGATAGGCCCCAGCACCCCCTGCGACCCGTGTGAGGATAAGCGGATCGGAAAATGGATGGATTTTTACTACAAGTGAAATGACGACCACAGTTGCATGTTGCCTGCGTGCGCTCACCTCAACAAGGACTTGAGGCATGACAGGTGACATTCTGCCCATGGCCATGATGGGTCTCCTCAGTCCCTCGGCTGCCAACAATGCTGTCATCTTCAGTTGTTGCTGTCCGGAGATGTACTTGACAAATTTTCATTTTTTTTTTTTTTTTTTTTTTTACATGCTACAACCTTGGTTGGCGCGCACAGAAATCTGCTTGGTTTCCCTCTGCACCATCCCAAGGTGGATACCGTTGTACGTTTCTGCTGTGACTGCCATGTTCAGACGAACGTCGGCGTTTTTTCCTCCGTCGTTCATCAACTGCACAAAAGAATCATTTGGTAAAATGTAATTTGGAATCATTTGCCAGACTGTGCATGACCATCTCCAGAGTGCACCAAAAATATTTTCTCACTCTTCATGTGCCTATTACTCATATTGTATTTTTTTTTTTTTTTTACTTGTTTGTGTTTCAGATGCAGTAACTAATTTTGCCCCGAAAACTGATCACCGCCCAAATTTTTGTGAGTGGTCTTTAGGACGAAAAGCCAGTCAAAAAAGTGAATGTTTTTTTGGGGAAAGCCCATGAAAGCTAAAAATACGAAACAACAATACGTTGTGTGCCATACCTCGACAACAATGTCGACATCTGATCCAAACACAAGTTTTCCGGGTTTGACGCTCAACAAAAATTTCTCTGATTCCGGCCTCTCGGGGGACGGCTCTCTGATTGCACGCTGAGCTTTTGCGTACACCTCTCTCGCGTTCACGGAGCCTGATGAAGAAAATTAATCAGCCCTTGATAATTAAACCGCGGCTACGGTGACGTGACATTTGAAGACACGCTGCAGTTTGGAAGCAAATTGGACACTGAGTGGAAAGTGATCTCGCACCAAAACGCTACACCACCAGTAGTCTGCTGCTGAAATGAATCCACCCGTTTACCGGCACAAGAAAAAGTTCAGGGCCTAGCCCGGATGATTTAGGATGAATGGGGCACAAGACAATTAAAATATGCAAAAATAAAATGTACGATTGGCTCATATGAAGTTTATACAGCGTGCGCACCTTTGGATACGTGCGCTTATTGTATGAATGAAAACTGACGCAGAGCCGAAATATGTGCGTGATCTGTTTGTCCATGTTGAAAAATGAGTCATTTTTGGCTAACCTTCAGGATATTTGTATTGTTGAGTGACATCGTCTCTGTGATTGCCAAAAACACTTTTGGTGCTGATGTTCTTGCCGATGCTGAACTGGTCCACTCTGATCTGTAAACAACAAAGGCTCATCGTTTTCAATAAAATGCGTACGAGGTTTTCTTGAGGGAAAACGAGGGGGGCCACCTTTTGATGCTGGCCGTCTTTTCGGACCATCCAGTGGATGATGTCAGCGTTCACCTCCGCAAATACAAACGGAGCGTCATACTTGATGCCCAGATTTCCCTCCTTGATGGCCTTAACAGGACATGGACCACAGCGGAAGTCACCTAACAATCAAAAGGTCATTTCGGCATCAAATTTGAAGCAATCTTGATGATGTCTATGAATTTTGGTCAAGTAAATGATGCCAGCCAATCGCAGGGCACACAGAGACCAACAACCATCCGCGCTCACACTCACACCTAGGGACAATTTGGAGCATTTTGTGAACCTGCCACGCATGTTTTTGGAATGTGGGAGGAAACCAGAGTACCCGGAGAAAAGCCACGCAGACACAGGGTGAACATTCAAACTCCAAACAGGAAGGGCGGAACTGGAATACAACCCACGACCTCAGCCCCGGCCATTTCAGCATGATAGTCAAATGGAAGCTGCCCAACCGAAGCGTCAGTTGGTTTCAGTTGGAATCAGCAACGAATCGTCACTGCGACTAAGTCAGAAATGGCCAGAATCTCCTTACTCAGGTCACACAAAAAAAAAAAAAAATGGGCTGTACCGTCACTCAATTCTTGAGGGGTTGGGTCCAAAACCTGCCAGCCGTCATTTCCCTGTGGGAGGTCATCTCTCCTCATCCAGGCCTCAACCCAACAGTGAAAGTTCCTAAAAGAAGAGTTTGAGAGACGCGTGAATGATAAATGACATCAGAACAAACGAGAGGATCTTTTTTTTTTTTTTTTGCTGCGTCCTACCATGAGCTGTCTGAGCGTCCTTTTTTAATAATCTTCAGGTCTTCATCGACCAGGTAGTCCAAAGAAAGGTTTCCGTCGGTGTCATGGGCAGAATCAAAGTTGGTAATGTTGCGTGCTGGGATTCCCAGGCAGCGCAGTACTGTACGAAGAGCAAACAAAAATCCCATAACACTAAACCTTGAAAGAAACCGTGCCTTTCCATTGTACAACATGCAAATAGCAGCTTTCAGGCTTCTCCAAATGCTAAGGTGACAACGCCAGACGCCTGGATGGCTCACTTGTAGTGGTGACAGCAGCAAAGACCCAGCACTGGCCGTATTTGACCTGCCTGGCTCCGCCGTCGCTCCACTTTTGGAGGATGGAAACGCTGCCTATCCATCTGTAAGGCGCCACTCCGTCAGAGTACGGCTCCTCCCAGCGGCCTTGCAACACACCCCTGTCGCGATTGGCATTCACCTGGACGCACATATCGGATGGTTCGTTTTCATCGTACTTTGACGTCTCATTTTGTTCTAGGCAACCATAAATGAATGCTCATGTTCTTTTTTGGGGAGATATGTGTGTGTGTGTGTAGGGGGGGGGGGGTTCCTCATTGTCATCACCATGGCAGTGACAACCCTGCTGACGTAGACGGGGTCATATCTTTGCTTCAGGTCTTTCTTCGAGTCTCTTATGGCCTCACTGGAGTTGTCCAGAATTTCAAAACAAATGTCCATCACCTTGTCCTCAAACTGCACACACACACACACACACACACACACACACACACACACACACACACACACACACACACACACACACACACAGTACACATGAATACGACGCACACAAACAGGTCATCTGTGTGTGTGTGTGTGTGTGTGTGTGTGTGTGTGTGTGTGTGTGTGTGTGTGTGTGTGTGTGTGTGTGTGTGTGTGCGCGCGTGTGTGTACCTGTCCAAAGTTCCAACGTCTCTGAGTGATGGCGTCCCAATTGTCCATGTAAATGATGCCATTCTCATTCATAATATACTCCTGATTGAGCATCTCATCAGCAAGATACACTGCATCATCTGTGGCACACACACACACACACACACACACACACACACACACACACACACACACACACACACACACACACACACACACACACACACACACAAACACACAGACACACAGATAGATAGATGCTTTTAAAAAAATATTAGAATAGGTTTCGATTTAATGTGTCAGTGCATCGAATCCATGTCATCATTCCACTTTCAAATCTACGGAGCTACGTATTGCATCGTCTTTTATTGGAGGGATACATCTTTGGAGGAAATGCCACAATTTCATTCCTCGGTGAGTCAGACGACAGCAAGACGCTCTTTGCATCTTACCGCCTCGAACGGAGCCGTATCATCTCGAATGGAAGCGTGATCCCGCTGAATCGAAGCGAATGGAACCATTCCGCTTCAAAAATCCAACCGTCTTTGAATCGTATCGCATCCTTTGAGATGCATATCAAATCATCTTTCATCCGAGCCGCGCACACCCCTCGCTACATACGCACGCATGTATACCCCCCACCAGACGTGGTGCAAAACGTCATGATCGGCAAAATCAAAAGCAACGATCCAAATGCAAGTCGTTACAGTTGACAACTCGCGGCCGTGACGTATTCACCTTTGCACCACGGGTTATAGAGCAGGTGGAACTTGGTCCTCGCGTCGGCATCCAGCACGCGTCCGGTCGCCGAGCACACCAGCGACACAGCCAGACGGTGAGGGCCGACGATGGCGTCCGCCGGGCTGTACAGAGTCAGCAGAAGTTCATCGTAGGCTCTCCGCTGGGTAAACCACCAATCGCTGCTTGCGCCTTTCTCCGTCTTCACGCTGATCGTGACCTCCTCTCGCTTGCCTAAAGAAACAACAAGTGAAAATGATAGTCAGGTAAAACAACCTCTGGATCCACCTGTGGCCATTCATACAAAAGAACATCCGTGCTCGAGTCGACGGCAGACAACGTACCCAACAAATGGCTGACCCGCTCACTGCGGCCACTTCGAGATCAGGCTTTACTCACCAAGATGGAGGTCCAAAGCCACCGTGCATTGGCGCACATCCTCGGAGCACTGCACCGAAATGGCGAAGGACTGACCCCTGCGCACAATCAAGCGCTTGAGGTCGATCTCTCGGGTGCGGTGAGCCGAGTTGTTCTCACGGCATCTCGGGTCCACGGCCACAATCGTAACTAAAGACAAGATGATGTTCGATAAGCAATACGTTTTATGAACAAGAGAGATACAGTGATGGATGGAGACTCACTTCTGTTTGCCATGGCGGGTCGTTTTGGTGAAAAAGTTTGCGTCTTCAAGTCGTGTCACCCACTTGTCTCGCAGCGCGTCCCGGTTGTTTATTTATACAGCACAGGGCTGACCCTCCCACAATCTAAAACATATTCCTCGACACTCCAATATCCCCCCCACCCCTCCCAGAAACCTTGCTAAGCTTGGTGCTCGTTCATTTTAGTCAGTGTATGGTATTTACATTATATAGCAATTCTTTCTGGATGTTATACATTTACCCAGAAACTACCGCGATAAATGAGAGTATTGTTTTTTGTTTTTTTTTCTGTGTTGCTTTTGAAATGCCACTGATAGATTGATGATGTTTGAACAAAAATATTTTTTCAGTTCTCAAGGATATGGAAATGTAGAACAGTAAAATATTTTGGATAAATGAAAATGAAAGGCAGCCCAGTGGTCCAGTGGTTAGCAGGTCGGCTGCACAGTGCAGAGGTACCGGGTTCAATTGCAGCTCCGGATTCCTTTTGTGGAGTTTGCATGTTCTCCCCGGGCCTGCGTGGGTTTTATCCGGGTACTCCGGTTTCCTCCCACATTCCAAAAACATGAATGGCAGGCTGATTGAACCCTCTAAATTGTCCCTTGGTGTGAGTGTGAGCGTGGATGGTTGTTCCAGGGTGTCCCCTGCCTACTGCCCGAAGACGGCTGGGATAGGCTCCAGCACCCTCGACGACCCTTGCGAGTGTGAGAATAGGCAGATTGGAAAATGGATGGATGGATGGAAATGAAAATGTAATTAAATGAGAAAGACTCGGGCTCTGTTTTTTTTTTTTTGTTTTTTTTTGTAAGAGCAGCATTCAACAAATATTAACACATCACATACGCCACGCATACTATCTGTCGTGGCAAGATAAAATGACATGTCAAATATGTCTTTTATTTCCTTCCTTTCCCCCTTCCTTCCTGAACAATTTATCTTTATGTTTCGATTTTTTTCTGTCAAGAATGTTATAACAGGACAGTTTTAGTACTGGATTAGTTTTTGTATTTTTTAATGTATGGAGTAATTGTCGAGCGTAAGATTCAAAAAAAAAAAAGAAAGCTCAAGTATTGTGTTGTATGAAACTAAGCAAACTACAATCCTCAAAGGACTGTTTGACCTTCCTTCTTCTGTACAAAACGTACGGCAATATCAAAATAAACACATTTAAAACAAGCCCTGAGAGCTCGGGGATGATATTAATTGAGAAAAACGAAAATGAAGGACATTCTTGCGATAGTTATTTTTTGTCCCTCCTCAAGCATTTCATTTTTATTTGGTTTCATAACTGTGTTTTCTTTTTCTTTTTTTTTCATTGTTAGCTTGAATTTGGTTCCAATGCATTTGTGCTAATACTCTAGACTTGGAGTCGTTTTAGTCAACGCAGCATCATCAGTCTTCACTTTCATATGACTTGCCATCTTCATGCAAGAGAAAAATACGGTTCATGCAGATAAGTATGAGACTTCACATTAATAGTTCTGCTGACAGTCTGCCCTGTTGATTTATTTGTTTTCGGTTTGGAATAGACTGAAATGAAACCAATGACTTCTGCTGTTAAATCTCTTTTTTTTTTCTTTTTACCTCATTTGACCCAACTTGCCTAAAAAATAATAATAATAATAAAAAAAACACACACACACACTCACACACAAATCATTTGTGTCAGCACCTACTGCAATGCCAAGATTAAAAAAGAGCTCACTATCTTTGTCGGTCGGTTACACTCGCTGATAAAAAGATAGATGTTATGTGTATTGCATGACACTTGTGATGGACATGTCAATGAAAACATCTGTTTCTATACTCCATACAGAGCAGCCACATAATTAGGTACAACATCACACAATCGATTGAGATCCAAATAAAAGAGCCGTATCAAATTCTAAATGGGCATTTTGGACACCTTCATATCCGTTCAGCAAGGCGATACACAATCATGACATAAAGTAAATATTTTTCTTAGTCAAAGTTGACACGTCACCAAGATGTTTATGCCGCACTAGACATTTACAGGGTGACAGCTGTTCTGTATGATTTCATTTTTTTACAAGGTCGTGGGCAGCTGTAGTCAAAGCTTACTTTTAGCTTAAGGTGGACCACGCTTGCGGTAGCGGATACGCTAATTAATTTATTTTTTTGAAGCGGCCCATAAATTCCTCAAATTGAGGTCGGACTCGGACTCGAAGTATGCGCTCACTATTTATGTTCACATTAACAAACAAGTTCTGAATCAACTCGAAATGTGTTACTCATTGTACTTTTGCCCCAAAAGGCATTATAGCCCAACAAGTGAAACATCTAATTTGAACAAAATGTTAAATGGTAACTGGAGTCCACTTATAGAGCGCTTCATCTTCATCATACATTTACAAAGCCACATTGACTTATCTTATTCAAATTTAGCGGAATGTAACTTACGTCGGCGCGTTTGACGCAAAGTATCAAACAGCAGCAGAAAGGTTTTGCTTTTTACTTTAAAATAGCTTACTTTCACCTCCACTATTCCACACCATACCCTGAACAACAGCACAACCAAGGATGTTTTTTTTTTTTTGGTCCCATTTTAAATCAATTTCTGTTGTTTTGTACAGGCCTCATCCTAGCTAGCATTAAGCTAGTTCGTCCCGGAAGCCGCTCTGTGGAATGGTTGTAGTGCAGTATGCTCTGTACCTGTATGTGCAAAAATGTCCGTTGTCAAAAGAGAGGGAACATTCGTCAGCACCCAACCCCGATATGATGACTATGACATGATATGTGATGTAGACCGTAAAAAAAAAAACTGGAAAAAAAGTACATGTAGTCTGATCACCTGTTTTTTTTTTTAACCGTAATGTTGACATTTATTTTTTTATTGTATCCTAAATACGTAATGTGAGTACAGGTATTCCGTTAGTCCCTAAACCTGATTATGATATTATATAAGACACATGTAATGCTGTGGCCAAAGCAATTTGGCAATTGAGTTATGAGCCTTTCTGCCACAATCTTGTTTTTTTTTTTTTTTGTGGGGTTTTTTGGGTCATAACTCTTTTTGTTAAAATGAATATGGCGAGGGCAAAATCTATATCTGACATTTGAAGAGGGAGAGCGGAGAGACGCTTGACGAAAATAAAGAAAAAGATGGACGCCCTCTGCAACAACTGAATGAGCGAGTTGAAAATAATCAAGACTTTAACACAGAGGCTTGAATGTTCTGATGAAAGAGTGAGCGAAGGACTAATGAAGATTTGAAATGAGGAAGTTCCTGGAAAAACAAGATACCCCCCCCCCACTGCCTCCATGCACTAATGCCCACACTTTATCATCCCCCCGTCCTACTCTCACACCGTAAATACTGCTTTTTTTTTTTAATTAAGCCTTGCACTTTCCCTTATCCCTTCCTAATTTTCCCAAGAAAAGTCACTTTTTATAAACTGTAAATCTGCATGGTGGTAGGCTCATAATCGTAATTATACTTCTTTATGAGAGAATTCTGAGGGCTGATTTGACAGCAGTTTTATAAGGTAATATTTCAAAGACATGAACTTTTCGGCTTTTATTAAGCATCTGCGAAGGTAGACGTGCAAGTGTGTGTGTGCTGGGGGGGGGTGGTTGAGGTCATTTTTATCCCATTGGCTTTCATTTTTTACAAATTCATTTGTTTGGCTAAATCTAGGCGAAATGGGCTATGTTATTTACCTGTGATAATTGGTTTTCCCCAAATGGGAATTTTCTTCACACACACACACACACACACACACACACACACACACACACACACGTACATACATGCACACATAAAGAATGAGTAATGGATGGTAAAACAACAACGATGCCATTTCAGATAGTGGCAAAATAAACAGACACACAGATGGATGTGTGAATGGAGTGACACACACACAAAGTTTATCCCAGGATATAAATATCCGACACAACATAAGGACTAATCAAACACACACATAATGGCTGTCACACAAATCCCGCATGATTTAGTCCCAGGTGTAATTTCATATTATTGGGAGGTGGCTATTTGCTGAAATTTTTGAGCAAAACCTTCCTCAAATATGCTGCTTGAGTAGCACATAACTCGTGAGTTCATACAGGCATGAGACATTTTTTTCAGTTGGCAGGAATGAATCAATTCTGGGCTTTTCAATTCACTTTCTCTTTGACTTTTTTTTTCCACAGGACTGAAAGCAAAAGGAGCAGCTTAAAAAAAAAAGAACACAGTCAAAATATTTCTCATATTTCTTTTGTGTGTCCAGTTAATTTTATTTTGGTTAAACGGTTGTTTGTTCATACTTGATGTAATACCGCTGTAGACCAACAGAGGGCGGCACACCGTAGTATGGGACGGTGTACTTGACTGAGAAAAATATCTTTTTAATATGTTCGAATATCAAGTAAAAGGCTCGAGGGGCTCAACTGGGGCTACACAGTTGTGTGTGTGTGTGTGTGTGTGTGTGTGTGTGTGTGTGTGTGTGTGTGTGTGTGTGTGTGTAAACTCTTGCTTTGGCATTGTGGAATTCCCTTGTGCACAAACACTATCCCACTTCTGTTACATCTCTGAAATTATTTCCAAGGGCGTAACAATTACCGGATGACTAAATCCTCCTATTCTGGACGATGCCGGTTTATACGGACCAGTAAAGAAAGGTGGAAACAAAGATCCCTGTTTTTAAAGGCAATGCGGAAGGGGCTACTGTTTACCTGTTCACTTTTCGGTTGCACTGTTCGAGCATTCCTGTATGACAGATGGCCAGAGTTTCTATGCTGCACCATGTTTCCAAATCTCAGCAGCTATTACTCAAAGCAATCATGGGCCAAAAGTGAGCTCCCACACTTTGGCTGTTTTTTTTTGTTTTGTTTTGTTTTTTCCAACGTCAGAGTTACAGCCAGAAAACACTTTGAATCATGGCGAGTGCTCTGAGGTCACGACGGGCCTTCTGGCCGCCGCACTGCCGCCATTGATATCCCATTTTGAAACGGTCCCACCTCAGCATCCACCGGAGAGCCCACAGTCTATTGTACCCGCAGGCTAAGTTATTATTGTCGCTGCCAATTTTTTACTGTTAAGCTGTGGAGTTGCTGGCAGTGAGGTCAGAGCCCCCACATCAATACTGT